GGTCCTATCCCGAATAAAACATGCTGTTAGTTTTTCTCGCACTTAATACAAAGTAATTTTTGTTATTATTATTCGTCAAAATCCATCTTTGAATTGTGCCTTCTAGAGTGTTAATGAGCTAAAAATCAAAAAGAACAAGGGCAATAAGTCATACTAATTTCGAGTTGTGCCTTCGAGAGTGTTTACGAGATACAAATTTACTACTTTTTCAAAAACAAGGACAATAACTCACACTTTTCTGATTACAACAGGGTTCATCCTTGGGTGTGTACAAGCACTCACACAAACGGCATATTATCAAATTGGTCTAATCAGTAGATGCTATTCAGAATCTTCAGTATTTGGTCCTATCCCGAATAAAATATGCTGTTTTTAGTTTTTCTCACTCTTGTCGTAATACAAAGTAATTGTTGTTATTATCATAACTTGATAGAGACTAGAGAACTCTAGTAAATACGTCGCTTAAATAAAATCAGTTACATTACTAAATAACATTCAAGGATTAAATAAAATATTTGTGTAGGCTAATACAATAAACAATGAATAAATAAAATTAATAGCAGGTTCCAGTGAAAGCGTTTTCAAGAATAATTCCTATAAAATATTTTTTTATTTTTTTTATTTCGATAGAGTGATGATAAACAATTTCACGAAAGATCAACTAATTATTTTTCGATTTTTCCGATTTTCAAAAAGGTTCATGGTGATGTACACTTATACTAAGTCTCGTCAAAATCTGTCAAGAATTGTACCTTTGAGAGTGTTTACTGCGTTTTTAATTACAAAAACATTAACTAATTAATTAATATTTTTGTTGTATTAAATATAGTGATTAGGGTGTTTAAAATGTAACACGCATGCGTGGTAGAACATATGGCGGTCACGTGACGAGTTGGCGTTCCAACGTGGCGAGTTGTATTGACTGATATAAGTCGAATTTATCCTGGGTTAATCTGATTCGATTTGGTCTAAAAACCATTTATCCTGTATCAAATCAAATTTGATTATGGTAATCAGCGAATTTATTGTAGCAGCGAATCAAATCGATATCGAGTAAATAAACTTTGGAGCCTCGTAGCTCTGTTAACTTCCGCTTTAGTAATGGCGTCCAACATGTCAAAACCATTACGTGCAGAGTAATTTCTTCCTGCCTTGCCGCCATCTTGGAAACTATAAATAGTATAATGTTCATTTATCCTGCAGTATAAATCAGATTCGATTTGTGACGTCATTCTGATTAGGGTAATCGAATCAGATTTAAGTGCGTAAAAAAAAACCTAAAGTTTAATAGTTTAATAGTTCAAGGGAGGTAACTGATGAAAATATTTTAATTTAATTTTAACAGTGTAAGGGAGGGAATTGATCACAAAAGTGATAAAAAATGTTACAAACACCGCAACCAAAGATATGTCAGCAAGTGGCTCCAAATTGGCTGGAAGGGCAGAAATCGTTTTGACACCCTAAAAAACTACTCCTATTGTACAATCAGATATAACTAAAAATTTAAATCCATGTTAAGCAATATGCAAAACTCGAAAAAGATGTTCTAACTTATACTACTAAAGGCAGCTAAGATAAATTAATTCTTAATAAGAGCATAGAATCAGAATATAGCTCAGTTCAGTGTTGAATAATTGCTTTTGACAGTTCAAGCTCCGTCACACCAGAAAGGCGTCCTTATTGAGAGCTCCTAACGGAACGCAGTATGTTCGCATATGTCGCAGGTTTATAGCGACTGGTGTTAAGTTTAGAATTCTATGGGACTTTTACTTTACGTTTGCCGGCGCCCAAGCCAATACTTGCCTACTTAAAGAATTAGGCGCCCCTTGATTTTCCTTCGCTGGTAGGACAAGTGCCAAGGTAGCATTTTACCCATCCAAAGGCCCATGACAGCCTCTTTGGGTTTTGATATCAGAAGACAAAAAAAATGCGAAATTTTAATTTAATTTTAATGAGTTTGGTATTTAGCAAAGTAAGCACACTCACTGAACAGGAGTTTATATTGTCTGTAGAGATATTACTTATGATATACAACAAAGTAAGTAGTAAGCCGAAATAATTTATATGATATCCTCCATTATTGCTTAAACATAAGCTTATTTTGTCAACTTTCAACCTTTTTAGAATGAGACATATAGTCTTAATGTCTACAGAAAATGTTTTAGAATGAGACATATAGTCTTAATGTCTACAGAAATGTTTTGGAATGAGACATATAGTCTTAATGTCTACAGAAAATGTTTTAGAATGAGACATATAGTCTTAATGTCTACAGAAATGTTTTGGAATGAGACATATAGTCTTAATGTCTACAGAAAATGTTTTAGAATGAGACATATAGTCTTAATGTCTACAGAAAATGTTTTAGAATGAGACATATAGTCTTAATGTCTACAGAAATGTTTTAGAATGAGACATATAGTCTTAATGTCTACAGAAAATGTTTTAGAATGAGACATATAGTCTTAATGTCTACAGAAAATGTTTTAGAATGAGACATATAGTCTTAATGTCTACAGAAATGTTTTGGAATGAGACATATAGTCTTAATGTCTACAGAAATGTTCTAGAATGAGACATATAGTCTTAATGTCTACAGAAATGTTTTAGAATGAGACATATAGACGTAATTTGTACAGAAATGTTTTAACGTGACAAATATCGCCAGTTCCAATCACTATCTACAGTAAAGTCTTGTTCTGGATGTGAAAAACATCTCACTAATTGACAATTAACAGTGTTTTAAATTAGGACCATAATTCAAACTGATACAGTTGTTCATCTGTAAACATTGATGGATACACTCATATACATCGGCTACTTCATATGATAAGAGTGTACAATTTGGTGAACTGGAACGTTTACCTACCACTTTCTTTATATTCATTTCTGTAATAAAGAAGAAAAAAATATAAATAATAAAATTCTTTCCAATCATATACTCATACTTATTGTTCAGTGTTGCTTTTTAATTAATGGACAAGTTCTCTATAGTTATGAGCCTATGTCTATGTATATGTACATTTCCATGCGCATGTACGTTTTCCCTCACGATATCACAAAACTTAACCAGAATGGTATCATTTTGACTTTTGCGATAATGCTTTTTTTCGCAAACGGGAAATTGAAATGGTGCAAATAGAAACCTCTTCTGAAACCTGTAATAGCATTTTCCTTAGAAAACGTCATCAAAAATTTAGAAATTAACTCAATCCTCACATCGAGTGGTATTTAAGTTTTTAATTGTTGACAAATTGCACGTTGGGTTTACTTTCTGAAATAGAGTTTTAACGGCTAGTAAATCAAATATTTAGTTGACTATAATCTCATTATTAGAAGTATATATCCCATTATTCTAAACCTACCAGATAAGTACTGTGTTGAACAGCCATTGTATATATCACCAAATATCTCTAATTCACATATTGATAAATAATCTGGGTTGTTCAAAACAAACAGAACAAATCTTCCCAAACATATTTTCGTACATGTTAAATTTGTCCAGGTGCCTCTCTCTGCTGTGTTCGGGTAATGGACACAAATACAGTATTCAGTATCCACCATGTTATATTTGATATGAGGACCAGGATCATATTGCCAAACAGAAACAGTAAAATTTCTCAATCTACCAACTAAAATTAAAATTATTATAAAAATACAACCAGCTCAATATTATATATTCTCTCAATTGATGACTGATAATCTGATATTTTAGGAAATTTGGTCACAGTAATACAGTCCTGTAAATTCCTATAATCTGTTTACTTTTAGACCAATTTTCGTCACCAATCAAAATCATGAGGCCCTTCGCTATCATGCATGAACCACGGACGTCTGATTGAAAATTGGAATATTGCAAATTGATACTATCAGCGTGAGACCAGAATACTCGTCAAATTATTCAAATTTACTTGTTGACTTTCAAGCTAGAAACTAGTCCAGAACGTTGATGATGTTGCTAATACAACTTGTTCTTTTGCTACTTTCAAATATTAGTGATAGAAATTTTACGTCAATTTATCATCAGAAAGACAGTCCACTCCTTTCCTCTCCCATCGGTCGGGAGATTTCTAAAGCCCTTTTCAATCTCTGCAATTGCTTTATAGAAGGAAATCTAACGTATTATCTCGAGCCAGGATCGGCACACCAGTAAAAAAAAGGCCACGCTGCTCATTATTTGTAATAATCATGCCAAGTTTTAAGAGCTATCGAAATGAATGAACATCAACATTCAAGATGTAAAATAAAGAGAAGAGCAAAGTCTCCAGTCAAAATACTCAACCTGCGTCGTCTTGTCTTTTTAAGACCTTGATACTTGTAATTTCATATTCAACTTTTAAGTCAACCATCAACCAATTGGGTGTATCTGTTGGAGGATGTGTATGAGAGCAGTCGGGATTATGGGTGCTGAGATTTCCATCGACCGCTTTGAAAGAAAATCTACCACCACCATATTCACTAGTTTGTCTAGTTGGTTTGTTTAATGCAAGATTCTCTGATCCAAAAACTAAATAAAGAAATGTCGGAATTAAATGTATATTGCTTCTTTCCCACCACTATCTGGTTTTACAAGCCTCTGATACATTAGTCTCTATCACCCAGTTCCTCTTTGTCTAATTACAGCTACGACAAAAGACTAAGAATAAAAGGAATAGACTGAGCGTCAGTGACTACTGATACATTTTTTTTCTATTTTCAGTGATTCTTAGCTTACCAGGCTAAATTACTGAAAAAAACGTGTGCATTTCAAACAATTTGTATGTCGTTTCCGCCAAAATGTCACTACCGTAAAACTTACGCTCGCGCTCTGTAATATATCACGGTAATGAGTAGTAGCCATAGTTTGACAGAACTATGTCAATATTGTCACGTGATCACGTGATTCTGGTGATTTGAATATCAAAGGCTGGTCGTTCAAGACTACAAGTGTTTGTAAACAATGAAAGGCAATGAAAAGAAAACATCCGTAAGATATAGTATAACATTTAATGAGTAGCTAAGTGTCAGGTTATTTGCCAAAGGCTCTAAAGGTTTGGATAATATATAGCTCGCAATATTACTATCACTTGACAAATCACTGCTAAATACCGGAAATAAAGAGTCTCGCCCATGAAGACACAACGAAATTTACCATCTAAATTTAGTCCATAAATAAAGAGCCGTTGGGAGAAAAACTGGCACTTACTTGGTAAATAAGTTTTAAAGTCTTTGTTTACAAATACTCGTAGTCCTGAACGACCAGCCTCTGATGTTAAAATTTAAAAGAATCACGTGTGATCACGAGACAATATTGACATAATTTCGGTAAAAAAAATGGGCGCCATTCATTACCTTGATATATGCGTAGCATGCACGGAGGCTGTTTGCCACTAGTGTTTGCCACTAGGTAAGACTAGGCCTCGACAGTTTCGGTAAAGCTGTATAACGTTCACGGTAGGCTGTTTTATGTTTCAGAAGCTGGTATTATATTGGTGCATTCCCTGAATGAAAACCTCAGCTGTCGACGAGAATATCAGATACCTCAACCACACATGGCTCTCTGAGGTTACGAAGGTTCTGATCGACCACTACCATACTGCTCACCACCATCCGTACCAAGTCATTATCAACACCTGCAATCGACCATGCCCTGTCTTGGACCCGCCCTTCCTATGGAAACGCCTTACCCAGTCTATTATTACCAAATATTCCAAACCATCGATGAAACCAAGACTATGGTTATCATATCTTTACCGATATGGATGTAGATCTTCAGATGCCAGCACCGAGTAGACTTGCCACCCTATCTAAACAGACCCAGAAACGAGACCACCCACGAGTTCACCAAGTCCTTGTCCAGCGGATGCAAGTAAACGATCACGTAGAGAAGGCACTCTGTTCTTCTCAGTTCCCGGTGGGTTCGTTTTGCCGCATTGCCCAACTTGCCGCAACGTGCCGCAACGTGCCCAACTACACAAAAACGACTTGTAAAACGAAACTAAAGGTTTCTGCTAAAATCCGGAATGGCGATTTGTTTCACATGAAACGAAATATTTTATCCGCATCGCTTTTCCTTTATATTTATAACTTGGACCTGTTAAGAAAATCGAAAAAAAAAACAGATTTTTGCATATAAAAAAAAAACACCCAGAGAATGACAACCTTGTTCATAGCAAACTAGAGCCCATTAGTA